TTTAATTCCTTTTAATGAGCCAGAAAGTTTTAAACATGACAGATTGAAAAAAGGCATTTTGCTTTTTGCATTTATATATTAACTTTGCCCTAAGAAACTAAAGACTAATAGATTATAAAAACATCCTGCAGGAAAGTAATGGCAAAACAACTTCCACAGTGTCATCAAAAAGACAACATGGATATGCCTTGTGTTGTTAGCATTATGCTTTGCTGTGCAAGGCATTCAAAAATATTCATGTGAAGTAGAAGTATGCAACCTGTGAAGCATGTATGTACTCTTAGGCACTGTGAAGTACCTATTTTGAGTTCTTTTTACATTTTTTCACTAGGAATTAAACCTGATCTAATAATGATTTGAATTTACTTTCATTTGAATTGAATCAGTCCTTATTTATACTATAAGTTTAAGTAAAACTAAAGACTTGATGCACAGTCCTATCAATAGTCAAAAGTAAACTTTACAATATTCAATGTTGTTAAGAGATGTTTGGAATTGCATTTCCAACAGCAATTCTCTATATGCGATTTTAAAAAAGAAATATTTAAATGTGGTTAAGATAATAATTTCTTATTTTATACCTTTATAGAGGATATTCATAAGACTCTTATCGATATTAGAAAAAATGATCCCATGTAAAGTCTTGAGGGGTTTTCACAGCTACTATAATTCAAGGAAGGCACATTTCAAATACAAAATAGTAAAAATAAATGGGGGTTATGTAGCAATATCATTGTCAGAGCTCAAAGCTGATCTCTGCTTTGAATGCCAAATTTATATGCCAAATATTCTTAAAAATTGTGTGTATTGAGGTGTTTTTCAGATGCAAAAAGGGTTACAACATAGGGTTTCAGCAGGGTTTCTTCCAATATTTACAAATATGTTTGAAATTTTAAACTTTTGCACCTCTAATATAAATGTTCCTTTACAATAACTACTAAATGAAATGATACATATTGATGCCATTTATAACCTGCAAATTATAGCCTCATTTTCCTCACTTCAAGCTAACAGATCATTTTTTTTCATTTATTTTTTTCTTTGGCTTATAATGATTTTAGTGCTACTTATCTTTTACCTTTCCTCCTTTCTAATGTTCATGTTCTTTTCATTTTGCAACTTATTGAGTAAACCTTTTTTCTGAAGACATCTTGCAATAGCTACATTAACAATAGTTACCGTAAGGTTCGAGTTTTCCTTAATATTAGGCTTATACATGTGCTTAGATTTTAATGTTTGATTTTATTTTTTTTAATATATGTACAGACATACTTTTATAACTGTAAGCTGCTCAGAATTACCCTATGGTGAGATGGGCAATCAATAAATGTTATAAATAAATATACAGAGTTAAGTACCTTCTCTCTACATATATAATGCAAATTCATAGTCAATATGGATACATGTGTGAGTGTATAGAACGTTACATTTGTCTATATCACAAAAAGGTATACTTATATATTAAATGTGATTTTATACATATGCTGGTATTTTTTATTGGAAGTACTTTATTAAGTACACAGATCTTTGTATTTTAAATCTAAAACATCATATAACCAGTGCTTAAGACACAAATATTGTCAATGTCAATTTAATTTCACTATCAATGAAACTGCCTCAATATCAATGTTTTAGTTCTTCTGTAAATGTACAATAAACAATTTTTTAAAGTCATGTCATAATAGCTGGATCATAAAATCAAGAAGCATTTATGTAGGCCATCGACCCAGAGGTGCAGCTGGCAAAGCTACATTAGTTCCAATCTATGACAGCAACTCAAAATAGCTGTTCCCATTTTAAGATATTTAGTTCTTTCATTTACCCTCAGACCTTTGCCTGATTCTGAGCCAAATCCTCCCCGAATAACTACTTTAATAAACATATCTGACCCTTAATAATAACGTCAGACTTTCTGGCACGTTGCTAAGTCAAAGAGCAAACTCCATTGAAATGAGAGCAAGATCTGCCCTTTCACTAATTGTCAACTGTATATGATGAAGTATACAAGGCCTGCAACCAGGCTTATGTGAGAACAACAAAACAGTAAGTATTTTTGCTGAAAGAATAGGGAGGGAAACAGCTACAATTTTAGTTGCTCATCCATACCCTAAGAGTATTATACTTTGGTAATAAAATGTTTTTTAGGAATGAAGTCTGAATTAGGATGGTACTTTGGAACAGTTTGAAGTGAAAACTGAAAATAAACCAGTTAAGATGTGCTAAGATGGATCTATAATTTGAAATACTTTTTCTAAAATGGCCTTCACAACATCGATTATTATTGAAAATCAATAGTACCATTTTAACCTCATAAGCAAAAGTATTTAGTTGATCTGCTGCTTATGCAAAAATATTAGCTTCTAATGAATCCAATGGTTGAACAATAACTATGAAAACTGCCAGTAGTATGACCTTTAAAGTAAGCAGTATTTTTTTTAAAAAAAATCACTGCTATGATCTGTATATTTAAACACAAACAATGCAAGCTTGAATTAGCAAGTATTTGTCAATTCTGTTCACATAATGCATAGCATATTCAACCATAAAATGCTTTCTCTGGCTGAGTAAAATGTTCTGGCAGTTCTCTGTTGTCTTTAAAAAAAACCCTGTGTAACTACAAATAAATAGCTATAAAAGTAAACAAAAAAAATATGCTCACTGCAAAATATTACTGGCTCTTCATGGTAAATTCTTTGGATGCAGTGTGTGTGCGCGCACACACACATACATTTTCATTATATTAGAACCTAATTCTGCTAAACTGTGCCTACTAGAGTGTTTCATATTGGTTGATAATAGATCCGTATTTTAGTAGGAAACTGTGGACAATATAAATATGTGCAATTCAATAGAATATGAGCTTTTGAATGCAAAATTTATGTGAATTAATGTTAACTCATTGGTTGCCACATTTCAGGAAAAAAAAGTCTTTTAAGTATGGATGGCAGTAACAACTAACAACCTATAGCACTTTTAATTATAATGTATTCTCACAAATCAGAATAATATGACCCACAGACTAATGACACATGAAGGGAACAAATCTGACAACAACCAAAACAGGATCTTCTAGCATTTTCCTCTGCTATGTTACATCTGTATGTTGTAAGAACAAAAGAAGAATGAATGTGCCACAGAAAAAAAATCTTTTCATCAACATATTTTATATTATAATCATTTTTCTTTCCCTGAATTTCAAGTGTTGGCCAAAACATTTATGCTTACAATATTCCAGTTTACTGAAATGATTCACTGACAATTGAGAGAACCATAAACACAACTGTTTGTTAAATTAAATTTTCATTGCCAAATATATTAACATTTCTGAAATTAAAATAGACTGTATATAGTATATCGGCCAAAAGCTGCAGAACTGCAGTCAAGCATTTTAAAAACTTAAGTAACAACCCTTTAAGTCACTTTCATGCAATCATTGTCCCTCATTTACAACTACTATTAGATGTGCCATATCTTCAAAGTGAAGTACATAATGGAATATTCTTCACTTTAAAATAAAGAGCAGCAATCACCAGTGGCATTACTGTTTTACTGAAATTCCCTTAAATTTTCTTTTCGAAGCATACTACTTTCTATGCATGTCAGCAAAGAAATGCTGATGTACATAGTAAGATGTATTATCTTCCTCAAAAAAAAATCATTAGTGATCTGGAAATTGCTCCATGTAGACATTGCACTGCATTGTGAATGGCCAGCCAGGTATTTTATGAATGGAGTGGATCACGTGCTCTCAGCACTTCCCGAGCTGATATTTCCCACATAACAGTGTCAACAATCAGAGAAGCAGCATTTTTCAACACAAGAAACCAGAAAATCCTAACTCATATACCGATTAATTTTCTTTTTCTACCATTCTACAAAAAGTCCACTCCCTGTCAAGCAGGACGAGCAATGACAAACGTGGCGTAGATTTAATTTTTTTTATGAATGAAAACTGTGGTATGCAAATTAGAACAATTCACAAAAAAGAAAATATGGCGGCGGCTGCTTCCCTCGCAGTTTTCTAGCAGTATTGCAACACTTCACCTTATCAACTGTACTTTGTCTATTGCAGTCTAGCTTCATCCCCTGTCGTTTTAGTTTAAGAATAAAGCACATAATTAACAAAAGAAGAAGTTTCTGACTGACCCATCTTAAAGGATTATTGTTTTATTTGGAGGAACATCTGCAAGTGACAAGTGCCCCTTCCCCACCCAAGCAAAAGCAATGTGTTTAACATTTAATTACCGCAGACGGGGAGGGGGAGAGGAATTACCATCTACCGGAAGAATGTTTTCTTCATAATTCGAACTACATCCAATAAATAGTTATTCATTCCTTAAAATAGCAGTAACTATTAAAAAGATAGGTGTCACAGATAATGTCAACATTATTCATTGCCTAAAAGAATTGGGAAAGTTCAGGATCTGTGCCAAGGCTAGCGTGCTTTCCAACATTTGAAAATTGCTGTTCTGCAAACACACGAATGCTATAATACTAAAACTGGAAATGAACTCAAAGAGACTTTTTTCTAATTATAAACTGATTATTGTAAATATATTAAGCATCCTCCTTATTTCGATTTCTAGTTAATGGAGGAAAAGTCTTAATAGCTAATTACAAAATTAAGCTTCAGGGGAAGGTTTAACAATATTTATACTGACTGACTCATCCAATTAAAATTCAGGATCAGTTTCCTACAGGATGAAGCTCCCACACTTTACTCGAAATATAAAACATACACATGAAAAAAAGATTAATTAAGAGGCGGAGTACAGGCCATTGCTAATCTGGGATAAGCATAAACATCTCGCCCCCCCTCCCCCGCCATATCCCAGACTGCCGCGACTTTCCCAAAAGCAGCGAATAAAACAAGATTTCCTACAGATAAGTAGGCACAGGCAGACATTTCGGCTAGAGAAAAGCTGCAGGGCAATAGGGGCCATCAGGAATAGACCGCTCTCTTTAACTAACCCATTCAATAGAGATGAAAGGCAACTTACTCATGGTTAGAATTCGCCGTCTCTTCGTTCATTTTTTCCTCACCGAGATCCGAAACCGGGATGGAGCAGTACCGACGCGGCCAGGGCGCAGCAGGAGCTCACCAGAAGCCCCACCATTGTTAAACCCCAGATCTAGCCCCCCTTCGCACCCTTCCGCCAGAGTGGCCTCAATCCTCGAGTGGGGTGGGGAGTAAAACAGCAGCCTTCCAATCCACCTCCAGAGACTCAGACTGGCTCTAGCGGGCGGGGGGGGGGAGCCGTCAGCGGCACCGATCGCAGCTTCTGCTTTTTTTTTTTTCCGCTTGGAAAAAAGCGAAAAAAAGCGAAAGGAGCCTCTTAGCTGCAGCGCAGCTCCCGACCAACGTCCTTGTGTGGCTGCAGCTGCACCCGGACAAGAGCCCACATTGCCCGCTACTGCAGCAGGTCCTTCATCCGCACACTGGCCTTCGCTGCCGTTGCTGCCGCTCCCTCTGCTGCCATAAAGGAAAGGCGAGCCACAGAAATTCCTCCAGACTCGAGGACCGGCGGCCCCAAATCGCAGAGCGCGCGAAAAAAAAAAGGAGGAAAGGAAAGGAAACGAGTTCTGGGAGCAAGCAGACGCCACACTGGGAGAGGAACTAATTCAGCCCGGAGCGAGAGGAAGAGGGAGGAGGGAAGGTGAAGAAAAAGAAGGGGGGGTGTATTTTAAAGCAGACCGGAGACGAGGGAGGGTGGATGCGTCACCAGCAGCTGGTGGTTGAGAAGGAAGAAGCCAAGCGGACGGACCAGCTGGACTCTTCCCCTCTCCGGAGCAGAAGGAGAGCAACTTTAGCAAAGGCGCCCCAACCCCCAGAAGGAACTGCGGCCCTTTCCCCAGCGCCTGGCTGGCCCCCTCCTTCGGGAGAACTGGGCGGAAGCGTTGACTTTAAGCTCCTTCCGCCGCCAAGGCTGGGAGGCGAGGCGGCAGTCTTTGCCAAAGGGCCGGCGGGGAACCCGCTGTCCGGGAACGGGTGGGAGCCCTCGGCTGCAGACTGCGATGGTGGCTGAGGCGGAGGGGCAGCCCCAGCCTACTTCTGTCGCACACAAGGAGCCCCTTCGCTCGCTCCCCAAAAGTGCCACGGAGCAGCACGCGGACACGGCCCCAGCTGCTCCACTGTACTTCGTAGCGGGGAGCCGTCGAGGGGGAAATAGAGCTCCTCTTCGTTCCCCAAGCCCGTGCATTAACACCTTTGAAGGGATAGCGACCTGTGCCCCCCTCCCGCCCGGCAAAGCTTATTAAAGTATCTCAGGCATGCTTAGTCCGGGTAGTGGAGGGGTCTTGAGTAAGTTCATTGCTCTAGCGCAGAGGGAGGGAGCTGGCACTCTCCCTCTTGCTAGTAGGCTTTGTAGGCCCGCACGGATCAGGCCCTGAGCCGACTTCCAAAGGAGGAGCTTAAGAGGAGAGCAAATCTGCTCCGGCGAGCTATCTCGGATTATCAGTTTGTGAAAGCTCTCCAGTGGAGCTTCTTGAGTCGCCCGCCTACCGACACGGCAAGAATTCTCTAATGAGGAATTGCTTTCCCGAGACAAAAATGTGAGCGAAAGGACAATCCGACTCAATTCTTTAAACCCCGTTCCCATTCCTGGACGGCCATTTGATTTCCACCGCCCGGGGTCTGGTACGAGCTAGTTTCTTGAAAATAGTTCACCCTTCCCTCGGTATTTTTTTTTTTGGTTGAAGTGTTGCACGGTGGAAGCGGAGGGATATCTGGTATTCTGCACAATTCAACACGCACCCGCTTTTCTCCGGAATGGGAGGGGGGGGTCTCTTGAGAGTTTGAAGCGGCTGAGTTCTTTATGTACGTGGGGGTGGGGGGTGAACGGGAAGTCAGGAATAGTGGAGCAGAGTTTTGCAAAAAAAAAAAAAAAAGTATTCTCTTGAAGTTCTTTCCTTTTGTCCAAAGCTGGGAAGATTTTCTCACCCTTGGGACGTGAGCGACTCTTTCCCCTTCTGTTACACAAGCTACTATTCTAGACTTGGCTTGGGTCACGCAATTCAGCCAAAAGTTGCTTTGCTGCTGAAGACGAATGGTGCAATGTGGACCAGCCGGGACGATTAAGTAAATAGTATCTTTGATCTGGAATGAGCAGGACGCTCTTAATCGTTACGCAATGTTTCCCTACTGGTTGAGTTCCCTACCCTGGGCATGCATTCCTGCCTTGCATTCCGATTTTCATTCAAGTAACCAGCACTTTCCTCTCCCCACGTGGGGTTACGAGGCGTTTCTCAGTTCTACAGGAAGTTAGAATTGAGGAGGCTGCTAAATGTTGGCATGAGTTTCTAAGGAGTGACTGAAAGAATACTAAAGTCCTTGCAGCATTCCTAATGTGGTGTTCATTTGTTTCCAAATCCCCAATCTCTGGATATGCTGGGTACACATGCTAAAGACTGTGTGTAGACCAGTCTTTTTATAATCTCAGCAGCTTTAAGATGTGTGGATTTCAACTCCTAGAATTCCCCAGCTAGCGTTTTAAGATATGTGGATTTCAGTTTCAGTTCTGAGAGTTGAAGTCCACACATCTTTAGGTTGCTGAGGTTGGGAAACACTGGTGTAAAACAATGGATTTGAGAAACTTCCCTCATGTCGTCTTAACCATGGAAGAGTCATGCCACAACTATTTTCCTACCATGTTCTTATGATGTGCTTTCATCCTGACTCCAGCCTGTGAGGAAGACTTGACTATTTGTGATATAAGTCACTGGACTGTAATGTGAAAATGGTGTTTTCCTTCTCTAGCTGATGGCATCTGACCCCCAGCAGCATAGTACGGTGTATAATTTCTCATGCTTCACTGCCATGTGTTGGAGGTGAAGTCCAGTTGACCATAAGTAGTTGAGATCAGGGAAGTGTTTATTAACTGTGTCAGTTTTTGTGGGAAATGAAAGATGGAGATTTTAAAAGGATTTGATAAAGAGAAAAAGAAATCCAGAAAAAATTATTCCCCGTGGGAGAGATAGTTTGGCAGAGCTCAAAAATGGGTGACTGCTTCATTCTAGGGCAGGGATGTTCAACTGGCGGCCCACAGGCCGGATGCATCATGCACAGGTCATGGCCACCACGGCGCCGCAAAGACAGAAAACATCACGATACATTGCAATACATTATGTGACACGATTGAGTTTGACACCCTAGGGCCTTCACAATCATAAGACCCAGAGGAGGGCTATTACCAGTATTAAGGGTTAAGAGTGTTTGGCACACTTTTCCTAACTTACTAAAATATTATTTTTGAATAGTCCTCAACTTACAACAGCTTGTTTAGTGACCATTAAAAGTTACAGTGGCACTGAAAAATGTGACTTATGGACTGTTCTTCACATTTATAACTGTTGCAGCATCTCCATGGTCATGTGATCAAAATTCAGACACTTGGCAATTGACTCATATTTATGACAGTTGCAGTTCTGTCATATGATCACCTTTTGCAACCTGATAGTCAATAGGAAAGCCAGATTCACTTAACAACCATGTGACTAACTTAGCAACAGCAGTAATTCCTTAACAACTGTGGCAAGAAAGTCCGTAAAACGGGGCAAAACTCACATAACAAAAGTCTCAGCAACAGAAATGTGGAGCGCAGTTGTCATAAGTTGACTAGCTATATGACAAAATGAGTCCCTTGCACTTCCTGTGACAGGGAAAATGACATTTTTTTTCTTCTCCAGCGGGCAATGTGTTGGAGAGGAGCACAGCAGAAGCAAAGGATACAAAGAACAGGTATAAGGATTTTGGAATTTCCCAGAAGAAATATTCCCACAAGGTGTAGAACAGCAGCAGGAGGGATCATATTGGATTTAGTTCATACAGGGAGAATAAGATTGTTTTGTAATATTTGCTTCATTTTCAAATTTTTCATATAGAAGACAATCCTATCAAAAGATTTATTTATGCATATTTGCATAAATGTTTTTTTCTTGTAATTCAGATAGTTTAAAGAATGGTTGACAAGCATGCCTCAGTTCTTTATCTTCTCAGCAGGGATGTGGTTTGACAAGTTGATCTTTATCTGTTGAAATAAAGGAGCAGACTTCTTCATATTAATGGCCTACCAGATCTTGGCTGTCTTCCCGAGAGCATCCCTTTCTTCCCACTGATCAACCAGATCAAATGCAGTAAGAGATCACATAAGATCCAGGCCATGAAACTGTAAAAAGGAACAAAAAGCTTTGCTGGATCAGGCCTACCTCAGCCAACTCTTTTTGTCATATAATGGCCAATTAAATACATCTGGGAAATACACAAGGACAACAGTGTTGCCTATCCCTGATATTTTAGGTATTTTCCATCTGATTCTAGATTAGACTTTTAAAGCCTTTTAAAGATGGTAGATCTTGATAGCCCTATACTGAACCTGATCCTCTAGTGCAGAGGTGTCAAACTTGCAACGTCATGTGATGCATCTTGATGTATCGCGACTTTTTTTCCTTTGCTGGCAATGGTGTGGGTGTGGTTTCAGCATGATGCATCCAGCCAGTGGGCTGGTAGCTTGACACCCTTGCTTTAGTGGTGTGTAGTTTTCTTTGAAGGCACCTAAATTGGGTTTCTCTCAGGCAGCTGATATCAGAAGAACTACTTGGGAAAGGGAATTTTTCCTACCAATGATTGCTAAGAATTTAACAGGGATAAAGCCTTTCCTGGAAGCATTTATCTGTTCCTTCAAAGCAGATATAGATAGTCCTTGATTTATGACCAATTATTTAACAACAGTTTGGAGTTATGATAGCCTCAGAAAGGCTGTTTTATGACTCATAAAGCACTTGCAATTGTGGTAAAATACCACACCATTGCTTCCCCGCGGTCACATGACTATATTTCAGATGCTTGGCAACTGGTCACATTTATGACTGGTTGATACGTTTGCGGTCGTGTGACTGCAATTTGCAATGGTTTTTCAGGTTTCTGGCATTTTTGTCGGTTTCTGGCAAAAAACACCCATTCAGGAGAATGAGTTCACACTTATGATCATGTGGTTTGCTTAATTGCTATTGTAAAAAAACAGTTGTAAAATTAGCTCTGGTCAAAAGGTACCTTGATTTAACAACTATGATAATTTACAACAAAAAATCCATTCCCAATTGCAGTTCTAAATTGAGAACTACCTATATAAAAACAAAACAGGTAGCACAGTCCATCTAGGACAACATGATATCATGCAAGTGCTAATTCTATAGATTCAGTTCTTCAGGGAGAGATCAAGGGAATAATTTCATTCTTACTTTCTCTTCAAATTAAAGTAGCAAATTCACTCCAACTTATCTCTACATTCCTTAAATTGGAGCGTTGCTACTTTATCCTTACCAGGTTAGACAAAACTTAAAACACATTTCCAGTTTTCAAAAACTTTGACTTTCACTTCCTTTCCATCCAGCCATTCTGGTTTACTGATAAGATAAATATAATAACATTGATAACAAAATTAATTCCATTGGTTTATTAGCCCTACAGGGATCTCCTTGTTTGAGGAGAAGTATACAAATTGGGGGAAAACTAATTGGGTAAATGAATTGTTCTGAATATACATTTTCCATCCAGAAATAAAAAATAATTACATCCAAATACTTCTTTATTAAACCATTTTAGCAGAATTTTTTGTAGTTATTTTATTATGGATATTTTTATTCAATTTTTTGTGTTATGATAAGTAAAGGCCTCCAGTGAAGAGGCCTTGGGGATAATCAATAAAGTATTATTGTATTATAGTAGGATTGATAGTTTTTACTGCATAGTCTTTTGAAAATTTATTTATGAGACTTTTTTATTTATTTATGAGACTTATATACCGCTTTAAGTGCAAGCACTCTCTAAGCGGTGTACACCAGTAAGCAATGTATATATATATTTACATTGCCCCCAACAATCTGGGTCCTCATTTTACCTACCTCGGAAGGATAGAAGGCTGAGTCAACCTTGAGCCAGTGAGATTTGAACCGCTGACCTGCTGAACACAGCTAAAGTGGCCTGCAGTACTGCACTCTAACTGCTGCGCCACCTCGGCTCTTTGATTAGTAGTGGCTGCAGTCCCATTCCTTTTAAACTCTTGGTGACCTTGATGTGATGTAATTAGCCCAACGCTGTGTAAACTTGAATCCTTAATATTACTTTATTTCCTATAGTTACAAATCCTTTGGCTGTTACCACTTACTGGCCAGTACCCAGATTCTGCTAATACAGATTTAGTTGTATTTAGCTGCTTATGTTACTAGTTCAACGATATCTTGTTGATTAACTTTCTAAACAGGATTCAGTGTACAAATTTTCCATGGAGAAAATAAGATTACTGTTAGAGAATTAGATACTTAAACCAGCATCTCTCATACTGGACTGTAACTCCCGGGATTCCAAGTCCGAATGGCATTTAGTTTTCCTGGCTAGGGAATCCTCTGAAGTGTAATCTCAACACTTCAGAAAAGGGCCAGATTTTACCAAGTAGAATTTTTAGGCAAAAGCTGATATTTTGGATCTTGTGCCAGTTTGGTTTGATATGAAAATGATGCTTGGTGCTTCTACAAGAGAAACACTGAGCAGTTAAAGTTATTGTACTCTTGAAATCTAGGAGATTGCATCTTCACCAGGTCCTGTCCACCTGCCAGAAAAAAACAGCAGCTGTAGGAAATTTGCTTGTCCACAGCAACAAAGGAGAGTTTTATTTTTGCCCATTACAGGTAAGAATTTTTGTCCTAATCTTCAATGTTATCAATTTCAGGAATAACTTCAGTGTATTTTCTGTTCTTCCCAAAGGAGTCCAGTGAAATTTCATGTCATGCAAATAGAAATGGCTATGCCAATTACCAATTTCTTAAAACATTGGTAAACCATGGCTTATTGAAAAAAACAAATTTGGCTATGTTCACAAAACATACTAAATTAACGCTTATAAATATAATGGCTTGGTTCACACAACAGACTAAGCCAAACTCAAACAAACCACATTATACTTCACTGTGATGTATAAACCCAATCTCTATTTAATGAAAGAACTACCTTTTCTGAAGTGGCCCTGTACTTAGGAAATGCCTAGCCATCTGGAATTCATTAGGCCCTATTATTTCCAGGTTGTAAGAAAGCTCTAAAGATCCATTCATTTATCTAAACTTTCCCCTGAATGGATCTGCATAAGACGCTTAACTGGATTACTGAATTAACCCATTTTCCAGTTTCACAGTACAGTGAACCACAAATAGACAACTAGGCTGGGTTTGTTCATCACACACAAAGACGTTCAAGTAGAGAAAAATCTAACCAAGGTTAAAATATACAAAGTTTTGCATGTTGAATGTATGCAGCTGTTAGGTCTTTAACTGACACAATCAAGTTGTGTGAATCAGTAAATTGGTCTGCTTGAGATTACAGTTGTGATTGGAGGTTTAATACTTTGGCATTTTAATTATGTAGATTGTCTGCTTTTATGATTGATTTACTCATATTTTGCTCCATTTATAATGGGTAAGTTGGTTTAGAATGGATTTTGCCCCTTAAAGATGGTCAAGGAATAATTTTAGCTATAATGAAGTTAAATACTCACTTTAAGCAAGAGCATTCAATCCGTTAACTTTCTATAGAAATAAACAGCATCTCTTACTACTCAAGTCATTCATAGCTACAATTTTCCAATGTATTAGTTCTTTGTATTTCTAGAGTCTGGACTGCAACTGTCACTGAGTCACACAGCTTGCTTCAGGCCAGTTGCCAACATGAAGCCAGTAACAATGTCTGGACCAATTAAAACCTCCCCTCCCCAAAAAAGCCCCAGGTAACCCTCAGTTTACCACCTGTATTAGCCTGACCATGTTAGAAAAATGTTTAACAATATCAAATTTTTAAAAAAGAATCACAATTTTTTTAGAGCCATCACAAGCTACTGGGTCCTAAAAGTAGTGTTGCAATGAGCTGAAAATAATGATTGTATGTGGTGATAATGCTAGAATGCAAATGCTGAGTGATGAATCTTTTTTTTTATATTAAAAAGTTTTTATTTTCCATTTATTCATACAAAATACAATTCAATTAAAATAAATTCCTAACCATTGGTACCGCCTGCCCATTCCCCCCCAGGTTGCGTCCACCCTCTCTAAACCTTCCTTACTTCCCTCCTCTTTTTCTCCTCCCCTCCTACTCTCTTCCCCTGCCCTTCTCCTCTAACCATCCCTACTCCTTCCTCTCATCCCTCTCACATACATGAACGCAGCATAGGGGAAATACCCAAGCATTTACCATGACTATATTATCATTACCCACCCACTCACCCACCCACCCACCCTTAACCCTCCCCCCCTCGCTTCTCAGAGCAGAGTACGGGGTTATTAATAAGAAAGTTAACAATAATTAAAAAAAGAAAAAAGAAAAAAAAAGAAAAAAAACATCATACTTAACCTTTAACTCCCCTTAAATTAAGTCATATAAACAAATCTCTACAACAGTTACTATAAAATTTACTCATAAAATAAATGAAACTTTATAGTCCCATATTTTTTCTGAATATAATCTATCCATCTTCTCCATACAATAATATATCTTTCTTGTGTATGATCCTTCAAATAAGCAGGAATTTTTGCCATTTCTGCAAAGTTAGAAACTTTAAATATCCTTTCTTCTAAAGTAGGCAACGAGTCTTTCTTCCAATACAAGCCTAATAGTAACTTTGCTGCAGTTAATAAATTCAACATTAAAGTAGTTTCTTTGTCATTTAAATCCACAAAGATACCCAATAGGAATAATTGAGGGGTGAACTTTATCTTCCTTTTAAAAATCTTTTGAATGTTCCACCAAATCATAATCCAAAAAGCCTTTACCTTTTTACAATTCCACCAAACATGAAAATATGTCGCATCCATATTACCACATCTCCAACATTTGGGTTGTAAATTTGGATACATACAAGATAATTTTTTAGGATCTAAATGCCATCTGTAAAACATTTTATAAAAATTTTCCCTCAAATTTTGAGCTTGTGTAAATTTAACATTTCTAATCCAAATTGTCTCCCATAAGTCCAATGGGATCGGATCCTGGATATTCTGAGCCCATTTAATCATACAGTCTTTAACCAATTCTGTTTCAGAGTCTAATTCTATTAAAGCATTGTAAATTCTTTTTATATGGGCCTGACTCTGATCTTTAATCTGAATAACCAGATTTCCATCTTCTAGTGTTATTCCTTCTTTCTTATCTACAGTCCACCTGTCCACTATTTGTAAATATTGAAACCATGACTGTAGAATATTTTCTTGCCTTAATACATCTAGAGATTTTAAATGCCAATCCGAACCTGACCAAATTAATAATTCTTTATACGAAATTTTATCAAAGTTCATCCCCTTAGAAATCCCCTCAATTGCATTTCTAGGAATCCCCCAGATAGGTATTTTATAGTTTAACCTATAATAATACTTTTTCCAAACTCGAAGTAAGGCACTCCTCAAAATATGTGATTTGAAAGCCCGGTCCACTTTCTTATTAAAAATTAAATATGCATGCCAACCATACATTAAATCCCACCCTTCAAGAACAAGAATATCCTTATTTGTTAAATTAAGCCAATCACTTATCCAAGTTAAGGCGGCTGCATCATAGTATAATTTCAAGTTAGATGCTTTAAGTCCTCCTCTTTCTCGGGCATCTTGCAAAATCTTAAACTTAACCCTTGGTTTTTTCCCAGCCCAAATGAATTTATTGATACCCTTCTGCCATTCCTCCAAATTTACATCTTTTTTTAAAATAGGTATCATCTGAAACAAGAAAAGAAACTTTGGTAGAACATTCATTTTTACAACTGAAATTCTCCCCAACAGTGACAATTGCAGTTTTTTCCAGTCATTTAAATCCTTTTGCACTTTTGCCCATAGTAATTCATAATTATTTTTATACAATTTTCCATTTGAGGCAGTTAAATATACTCCCAAATATTTAACCTTTTTCACCATCTGAAAACCTGTGGCTTTAACCAAACTTTTCTTGTCATTGGCTAACATATTCTTAGATAATATCTTAGTCTTATGGTTATAGACTTTAAAACCAGAAACTTTTCCATACTGTGTTATAAGTTCTAATAGACAATCAACCGCTCTAATCAGTTGTTCCAAAATCAAAACCAAATCATCCGCAAAAGCCCGTAATTTATACTCATTTTTTCTTATCTTTATGCCCTTGATTACCGTTGATTCTCGAATCTGGATCAACAAAATCTCCAATGTTAAAACAAATAACAATGGAGATAATGGACATCCTTGTCTTGTCCCTTTTTCAATATTAAAAGTCTCAGTCAATCCCCCATTAACAACAATTTGAGCAGATTGTTGCTGATATATAGCTTTAAGTGCATGTAAAAAATTATCCCCAAAATTCATTTTCTCTACCAGTGAGAATAAGAATTGCCAATCTAATTGATCAAAGGCTTTTTCAGCATCCAAAAATATAAAAGCCACAGGAATCTGGTTGTTCTTATCCAAATACTCAATTAAGTTAATAATTTGTCTAACATTATATTTCATGTATCACCCTGTTATGAATCCTGATTGATCACTGTGAATCAAATCCTTCATAACCTGCATTAATCTATTTGTCAAAATTTTTGTAAAAATCTTGTAATCTACATTTAATAATGATATCGGCCTATAATTCTTAGGCTCTGTAAGATCTTGATCCTCCTTCAGAATCAATGATATAAACGCTCTTTTCCAAGAAGGAGGAACTTGTGCTCCCAGCAAGATACTATTAAAAAGCTCCTTTAATGGCTCCAACATTTCTTCATATAAATTTTTATAATATGTCAACGTCAATCCATCTGTTCCTGGAGACTTTCCCACCTTTAACTGCTTGATAGCTAAGCCAATTTCCTCCACAGTAATTAAACAATTCATCCCATTTTGCTGTTCCTCAGAAAGTTTAGGAAAATGTACTGATTGTAAATATTTATCTATATCCATTCCCTTTATATTATCACTTGAGTATAGTTTTGTGTAAAAATCTAAAAAACTCTTTTAATCAAATTTTGCTGAAAAACCTCAGTACCTTTACATTTTACTTTCTCTATAATCCTAGCCTTCTGTTTTTTTCGTAACTGATAAGCCAACCACCTCCCAGGCTTATTTGCAGATGAATCTTAATGTTTTAAATGGTCCTCCAAATTTGTTTATGTAAAATTGTAAAATAAAATAAATGTGTGGAATATTTTACTTTTAATCTTTTCAGAAAATACTCTTGAGAGTAAGGGTTCTAATCAACCTAGGTAATCCTTGACTTACAACCATTTCTTCATCTTCTCTTCAGAATCAATGGTGGTACTGAACAAGTGGTACCTATGCCCGATAGCCAAAGTTACGGCCATGGCAGGGCTCCCATGGTTATGATTGTTAATAAAAAAATTGAATATTTGGCAGCCTGATGACATTTATAATTTCAGGGGCACTTCACTCCCTTAAACTCCTATGTTTACCCCTCCTGTTTTGGACTTCCTGCACAGTGTTATTGCTTGGCGGTAGCAGCTCTCTTCGCTATTTTTCATAAAATCGAGTAAACTATAACATTTTTTTTCCTAATAGATTTTGAAACCTGGTTTTCTGGTGGTGTCTCAACACTACATTGTTTCTAAGACTGCAGTTCTATGCATTTTAGGAATAAATCTCATTGAACCGAATAGCACATAAGGTTGCATACTTTATAATCAGGATTTCTGTCCTTTGGCTTATTAAAGTATTATACAGAATACCTCTAAAGCGGGGCTTTTCAACCTGTGGTACGTGTACCACTGGTGGTACGTCAGCACCTGGCAGGTGATATGGGTACGGCAGGTTACGGCAAGTGTAAAAGTGTAGGCCTGTGGGAGAGTCAGCTGGAGCTGTGGTGTTGCCAGGGCTCTGCTGAGCGCCCAGGATCAGCGTGGGGTCCAGCTGATTGGCGCATGGCTCAGGCTGACTGGCGCTTGCATCTGCCTGCTTTGTCCTGCAAAGTGGGGCTCATCTGGTGCTCTTGCCCGATGTCATGCTGGCAGCTGGGATCAGGAAGGCTCCAAAGGTGGTAGCTGCAAGAGGGAGAAGTGAAAACAGGATCCAGTACTGTTGGGATCAGGAAGGCTCTGAAGGAGGTAGTTCTAAAATCAATGGACTGCTGCTGGGGAGGAGAATCAAAATAGGGCAAAACAAGCGTAGTCCATCATAGTTTATTGATTGCAAAGTTTTTCTCGGGTTTTCTTATCCCTTCCTGGGCTATTAAAATCACATTGGCACGGTCTGTACTGAACATCTTGCTGCAAACTAGTCAGCTGGATTTTAACCTAGCCCCTTGTGCAATCCTAAGCCACATTCTGGAGGTAAGAGGATATAGTAACAGGAGAGAGCTGCAAAATTGATTTGTTATTTATTCTTGCCTTTAGTAGCAATAACTACGTTCTTTGATGACTTTGCTAGCAACCTGCAGACTGTGAAATTTCCTTTCCCCCTTGGAGAAAGAATTCAGAAATGCTAGACTTATTTTTCTTGGTAATTACAGTGTACTTTGTGGGTTTTTTAAGGAGCTGTGAGAAAAAGATGTGTCTGAAAATTAAAGGATGTATGGATTAAGTTGTGGTACAGGAAAGGAAGTATATGGACTTATGCACTTCCAGTTGCTGACAGGTGTGCCACTAATATTCTGACTTGACACCTGTATGCTCTCAGGGCCCAAAGATTATCTTCATTCTTCATACGCTGGTATTGTGGATTAACTAAGTTTTTCTAGGTTCTGATTTTAAGGTGAGTATCCTGAGCTACGGAGGCCTTTGATCATCTTCTTAAATACATAATAATAAAATAATGAGAATTAAAGGCTCAAAGGGAAGGCAGATTAGAAATAACAAGACCATTTGGAGTCTTCAATTCCCTTCCTGTTAAGAATTCCTTAATAAGGTTTGCTCCTCCTTCCTAACATCAATAAAGGTCGTTTTTCCAGAAAATATGTGAAGAGCTGTAATTAGTGATTTAACTATGTTTTCTTTTGGGCTGTGTTTTAATTTATATAATGTATGTTTAATTGAGGGCTTGGAGAGGTAGAAGTGGCCAATATGGAGGCTGCACCTTGCCCTCCAGATCTACCTCCCCTGCAAATGTCTGGAGAGGAGGGGGTGGCAGGGGAGCTGGGTGAGGGAAGACTGCCCCAACAAACCAGCATCCTTACCACGCACAATTGGAAATGGGAATTCCCTTTCAAGAATAGCCAGCCTCCCTTGTGCAGGACCTGGGAGTGCTGCTCCCCTGCCACCTGCTCTTGTCCTCCAAGGCAGAAATTGGACTTGGAGGAAATGGCTTCCTGCAAACTTTCTCCTCCACGCTTCCACACACAGCAGCGTTGTCCTCCATCTCCTGCTTTGCCTGAAGGAAAACACCAACAATGTCTGGGATTGGGAGAAGAACGTCTCCTTTGGAATGCTATGTGCATGCGCATGCATGCACGCACACACGTGCGCGCGTGCACGCACACACACATAATTTTCCAAGTTCAGAGACTTTTATCCACATCTGAGCTAGCAAACTGCCATTCATGCCTGGGTTTGGAGAGAAGACCTCTCCTTCCTTTGTGGACAAAAGTGCCCAAACCTGGCTGCTAGTAGTTTGGGATGGTGAGGAGTTTATGGGGCACTGAGTTGTCCCCACATCGAGTTAGCTGGTGCGAGTTGTTCCGTTCCAACTCAGCTGTCTCGAGTCAGCTGTGTCTAGTGAGTGGTGAGCATGCTATGCCCATCTACTAGGCAACTGGTGGTACTTGAATATTGCCATATCCTAAAAGTGGTACAATCTCTGAAAAGGTTGAAAAGCCCTGCTCTAGAGTAGACATGTCAAACTCGTGATGTCACATGACATCGTGCAACATATTGGGATGGTTTTGCCATTGCCGCAATGGGGTGGGCGCAGCTTCCCGATGATGTGTCCGGCCTGCGGGCTGGCAGTTTGACACCCCTGGTCTAGAGGATAGACAGGCAGGCAGGCAGAGCACAGTGAAAAAAAATCTGTGATTAAATATTAAAAAGACCAAACGAATGACAACAAATAACAGCAATCAAAACTGACAGTGGGTGGATGTTTTGTCTTTTAGGATTGATTAGCAAATAGAAGGAAGCAGCAGTTAAAAAGAATGCAGAGACTAATAGTTGGTAAAGCAGTAATGAAGGCCTTGGAAAGTAGACTCAATTGCATAAATGTTCACACTGATAATTCAAGAGATACTCATTTTCTTTTTTATTTCTAATTTTATTCACTGGATTTATATCCCGTTTCCCTTTCCACAGTGGAAGACAGTATATACTTCCACCCCTTCTCCAGTCTTGCAATATTGTCTGTGCTAATAATGATCTTGTGTCATTCTAGGAACTTTTCTGGTATGGATGGGCTTGAACTGGATCCTCCTTGTCCTATTCATTTATGCAAAAATGCTCTTAATATGCACTCATTGAGCTGTAGGTAAGTTTTCTATCAGAATAGTTTGTTATAAGCAGGTGTGGCCAAAGGTATTAGAACAAATTTTTTGTGTTAGCTTCTATTTGTAGAATAAAGCTTCTGTGTTTGATTATAAGTGGAGACTGCTACATGAGCACCATATGACATCAATGAAGATTTGTGAGGAGAAATGTTTTAAAGCCCTTTCCTTTAGAAAATAGGCAAGGACTTTAAAACATTCACTAGAAAATAGTGAATATATGGAAGGTGAAGGCTGTTCTTTACAAAAATGGTTAAATAAATCCAAGTTTAGTAGCAATGGGTTAGTGTTATTTTGAGAATATAATATGTAGCCATTAATTTGTAGTGTTATTTAAGCAGTGGCCTCTTCCCACTAGGCTACTCTTAAATAGTGGTATATTTTCATCCCAATTCCCATTATTTATTGAAAACTAAATTCTGTATTCCCCAATAGACCTTCTTGCAATGCACATTAGGAAAGATATTGCATTTCTCTATTTTCCTCTGGTCCTTCAACCATATGTGAATGGAAAGCATTGTATGAAAAATAGTAAACTTTAGTCTTATTTTCTTTGGGATGTGGAGCCTTGAGAATATTACTTGAAAGATTGGATATCAAATGTTAAAGCAATAAATATAACACAGAAAACAGGTTATTAATAATGGTCACATTATAATATAGAGGACTTATACAACTTCACAATATACAGTACGCTTCTGGTTTGATGAAAGAGGTTCCTTTAAACCAGGAGTCTTCAAACTTGGCCCTTTTATGACTTTGGACTTCAACTCCCAGAATTCCTCAGCCAGGCATGCTGGCTGAGGAATTCTGAGAATTGAAGTCCACAAGTCATAAAAGGGCCAAGTTTGAAGACCCCTGTCTTAAACAGTTGATAATAAGGAATGTTGTAGCACTCTGATTAATATTGCTGTGTAAATGACTACCGTACTTGTCTAAGGCACCAAAAATAAGCTGCAGAAATTTTAACTACTACTACATGAGAACCAGTTTGGTGTAGGCATCAGGCTGGGCACTGGGTTTTAGTCCCACCATGGGGATAAAGCCAGAGGGATGACCTTGGGCCAGGCATTTTTTCTCAGCCCGAGAAAGGAAACAGTGGCAAACAACTTCTGAAAACCCTTGCCAAGAAAATTGCTGGGATTTGTCCAGGCAGTCTGTGAATCAGACATGATTGAATGAAAGGGGGGGAAAATCCCTACTTCATGCCTAATGCAGAATTATGAAATCCATTAAGTAAAAATGTTCCATTTGGAAAGGCAGAATTCCAGCAAAGCTTCTAATTTTTCCACTGATTGATAGATTTGGAGTATTTTTCAGAGTAGGCTGCACAATGCCCAGAGCTTAGTGTGTGCCAGCCTATCCACCTTACATGAACTTGCTAAGCATCTGTTTTCTGATGACCTCTCCCAAAATATCCTATTACTTTTGTATAACTACTTTTCTCAAATGTTAGAGAAAAGAGAAAGAAAGGTAATCAAACAAATCCAAATTATTTCTATTTACTTTCGTCAAGCATTTATTGATTCCAGCAGTGAATATATTTATAAGGTGTTTTATAGTATCATATACCTGGAAAATTGCAGTGAGTATTTGCCCACATCTAAAATATAAGAGGAATAATAAAATACAAATGGAAAAATAGTTGATACACCTATGAAAAAGGTGAATGTACTTAAATAATTTCCATTACTTTCCTTAACAGTTGATCTGTCTGGATTGTCATCAAAGTTCCTTTTCTAATATATACACATTGTCATTTCCAGGACTGTGAATTGCCCTTTGATTCTGCATAACTTCTATAATTGTGTGGCAGAAATATGTACTGAATAATATATTTCTCAGCATGAAGGTGTAAAGTCCTGGGTTTACCTATGCCATCTGCTAGTTTGCATTTAAAAGAAGAGCCTGGGTGCAATCCCACTTTATTTGACAAGTAGATGCCTTCTGAGAGAAGTAGTCCCACCAATAAACTGGACCTGTGTTAAGTAAGGCTTTAAAGATAATAAGCAATACTTTGAATTGAACATAGGAACTGTGTAGTAGTGATATTGTAGACCCCTTAGAACAGTTATCTAGAAAATAACTTCAAACAGTTATTTGACTTAGTGCAGCCCAGCTCAAAATAGAGCTGCCCATGGTTGGTAGCAGTGAATGATAGTCTCGGGTCTAACCTGAAATTTAATCCACACTGATTACAACTTAGGCAGTTTGCTAACTTTTTTTCATTCTTGTAGGGTTATTAAATTAATATTGTTGTGGGATAGAAATATAAATATCCATTACAACTGTGACCTTATGTTCCAAAAGGTATTATTTTCATTGGTTTCCCCTAAGTTACTGATTGGATTACAAATATTGAATATGGAAGTGTAGTCAGTAATTCTACTTTTCAGGGAAACAAATAAGGCTGATTATATAATGTCAAAGCTTAATTGATCTTGCTGGTAAGTATTTCCATCCTCACTTCTAGCATTTAGCAACTGCTGAGTAGGCATATTTCTGCTAGTTATTAGTGTTCCTATTCAGAAGGCAATGTATTTAAAAGGTCCTACAGATGTGAGTCACTTTGATTATGGTGTACCAGAAATTTGTCAACCTCAGACATTTATTTAGTTTAAAACATTTATATAGCTGCCTACTTGCTCACAGTGTGAATAGCATATGAGTCTACTCTTGCCTATTTCTTCTAGGTTCGGAAAATTTGGTTTTTTTTGTTTATTTATCTTAAAGTTATATCTCATGGGTAGCTTCCTCTAGTTAACTGATGATTTAGAGATTGGTGGACTTATTTCTCATTACTAGGCTTCATTAGACTTGGAAATGAAGAACATATTCATATATGGAAAATAAATGAAATATGAAATCTGTTTAAACTCTACCAGTTGCATCTATTTTCTGAACAATCCTATACTGTTCCATTATTTGGAAGAGTGGTCCAATCTATAACGATCAGTTTGAAATGAAACATTTCTGGGGAAGAAGCCGTTAAAGGGTTTGCCCTTTTTTCAAGAATTTTATAAAAGTTTATTATAATTTAAAATGCAAATAGAAACAAAAATCAGAAAAGAAAGGGAAAAGAAAAAGAGTGCAAAGATATAGAAAGGAAAAGGGAAAAAAGCAGTGATTTCCGCTTTTTTCATTACATTAGAGTACAAAAGAAAAGTTATAACCTCAATTTTTTGCTTGACATGTGTTTAGTAGATACAAAACATTTCTTTAACCACAAAGTTGATCTAATCACCCAAACCTAAAATAAAAGTTTCATTTTTTTTACTTTCAGTCTTTTAACCAAGTAAATTGAGTACTTCTGCAGTCCTATTTCTACCTGTAGTTTAAATACCTTTAACTAATCATTCTTCAATGATATAAACTTTATATTATGTGACACACAATCTTATGCCTGGTCATAGGGAAGCGTTCTCTTTATTTACCTGGCATTTACTGTTTAACTCATGAGCATTTGTACATTATATTGATAAGGAATGTGCAATACTATTGAGAAGTTCTTCAGGCAAAAGGCTACAAACAGAAATATGCAATAGCAACTTTCTGATTTCTTGCCTGACTTAACATTCAGTCCCCACCTATCTTTTAATGCCCATCTAGGAACACTGGATGAAATTGCAGTAATCTGCCCACTTGGCTCAAAAGCTCTGTGCTGGGGTGATTCCTAATATGAGCTAAAGTTCATTAAAGAATGAAATTTAAATTTATTTCTTAGAATAAATTAGTGCAGAACCTAAACGTGTAAAACGTGTAAAATAATTAGAAATTTTGAAGTAGTGGGAAAATAATTTGGGGAACCAGGAATGCACTCACCCCAAATTTAGAAAAACATATAAAATACAATTCCCAGCTTTTATTAGCATATTTAACACACAGGTAAATAAATGGCTGATACTGTTACTTTATATGTCATTTCCAAATCTCATGGAGGTCTAGTAATGATTTATTACGTGTACCATATATATAAACGTTGCAGTTACATAGATTGTAATAATCTAATTAAACAGGTATTACAGCATAAATTATTGGGGCCAGGTGTAAAGGAATTTAGAGTCGAATTTGGGAAAGATACAAAAGGGCTGTTAAGAAGGAACTTGGAAAAGAGATTATCCAGAAATTGGAACAACTATGAGAAAGAAACTTAAAATGTCCTCATCTCATAAGAGTCTGTTATTATGCCCTACAACAACGAGGTAGCATTCATTGAATGTCTCCTATATTTGTTCCGTGACCTGGCCTGCTTCAAAGGGCTGATATCAGGTCATTTCTTTTAGAAATGATCAAAATGACCATACCAAAGGGATGTCCCCGGTGTTTTTGTGCTTTGAGTAATAGAGAAATAGTAGGAGTATCCAGCACTGCTGTATACCTGTTACAAAGAAAGACATGACAGCAGGGCTATGATTGGGTGGCTACCATCTTGATTTTTACGTTCTTCTGACACATGTGCCTCACAAAAATTGTTCTCTTTTCGTCTTTACCTAAGAAAAGCTGGAGATGCAAATATAAGTTCAAAAGCCTGGGTAGAACAAGACTTTGGCTCATGAAAGTCGGTTATTTTTTTGGATTGTCCAGAGATAAACGTTTTAAACATCTGAGTGAAAAAAACTGAATATGGTCCCAGATTTTATTTCTGATAATCACACAGACAGATAGCGGAGAGTGGTGTGAGGAATAATAGGTCAAATTGAAGATAATAATATATGTTTCAAAATATAAATTTTTCTTTCTCTAGATTGTATGACCTTCTTCACTTGTTAGTGTTTTCGTATTTTCTGGTATTATTATAAAAGGAACATTGACTAGTGTTTTGGCTGGTGGAAAGGCAAACTGACAAATGTTCAGCTAATTTGTTCAAGCACCTTTTGGGCAAATTGGCTGTGCTTTCAAGCTGCTGTATATGCATGTTAATTCTTTGGTCAAATGCATTTGTTTGAAGTTGCCCTTTGGTTAGGGGCCCTAGGTTCAGATTTCTTAGCTGATTTGTTGCTTTGTATAGATTTGTATGTTGCCCTCTATCCATAGTTTACTTGTTCCTTAGCCTTGCCATTGTATTAGACATGAAAAACAGGTAATTATTTTTATCCTGTCATAAAATTTTATCTGGTTGCAAATGCTTCATTTCCTTACATTTCCTACCTATATGTTCATTATTTTTATAGAATTATCCATAAAATGTGGACTTTATTTATTAGCTAACATCCATAGTTGTGAGAATGATGTTCCTGTTGCTCTACCATCTTCCTCTTTTCTACCTTTTTTTATACTTCCTTCTGTAAATCTGCTGCAAAGGGGATTCCCATCCTTCAACATAGACTCAGGAGGCTTAAGAGGGAAGGAAAGAAAATTCATTCTATCAGTCGTGTGCATTCAGTTGGCAGACAGAAATATTTGAGTACAAACTATTTAGTTTACATATTCTTCTAGTTCATCTGATAACTAGAGGTTGATTGCTTGTTAAATGCACAAGATAGAAAAGGCCAAGAAATGACCTCCATGGGAAAGCAAAATTGTTTTTATTGAACTTGGCTATAATAATTGAATCTTGCAAGTCTGATTGTGCTGTATCTGCTCCTTATTGTACTCTAGTGAATTAGAGAGAATGTCTGCCTGAGCCACTCTCAAATGTTAATTTCTTGTGGACCTAGATAATAGTTCAACCCCTTATGCTTGTAGCCTGTATATCTGTATATCTTGGAGCCTGTATATCTCTGTCAAGATCACCTTTCCTTACTGTCAACCCTAGGCCACTTTCATCCTATATTACTGGATTTATTTTACAACCAGAGGGAGTGGATTGGAACACTGTATTATAATTGTAGTAAAGTCTAAATAAGATTTTACATACAGTAGTTTATTTGTTTCTAGACGCAGTATAAAGTTGATTGGAGTAACTGTGCTATCTGGAATAGGGCTTTTTCTGTTCTGTTCTATTCTGTTCTGTTCTGACCTTTGGGAAGCTGTAAGGACCCACCTCAACTAACCACCCAGGAAAGCAGAACTCTTGAAACAGGCATTGTCTCAAAAGGAAACTTTTATTAGGGTTAGTGACAGTAGGGAAGTCAAGGCAAGATCTGGGGAAAATTCCACTTAAACGGTATAATTAAACCAGCAATACTCCTCCTTCCACCAGAGTCATAATGTCCATTTGAAATTTAGCCAATCCACAGGTGGCAACGATGTGTGAGTAACTGGCACAGTTGGCACGCATCTCAAGATATTCTCCAGTTTTGTTTCTTTGTAACCGTCTCCCTGATAAGGAGAGACATTCCTTTCTTAAGTGGATAGAAGTGGATAGAGAAAAGCAGACAGCAAAAGTTATCCAAAACGAAAGCAAATATTCCCCCTCTCCACTACTAAATGGCAGACCCCAAAGCAAAGCACAAGAATATATATATGAAAGGGAGATAAGGAGATAATAAGGATTTGGGGACCTGACAGAAGCACATTAAAAATAAAGCAAGTACTAATCTCATGTTGACATTCATCTGAATATAAGAGTTCAAAGTGGGAAATAATAAAGCATATATGTAATCCAGCCAGTGTCTTTGGCTCTCTCCAACTACCACACATTGCAGTGGGACATCTAAAAAAAATCTACTTTCAGTCCCTTGAAGGTGAGAAAAGCTACGGACAGACTTCTGGATCTCGCTTAATTCAGATGTCAAGTCTGCACTTATTTTTAAGGAACACATTCTACGGCTTTCATTCAGAATGTCTAAATATGAGGTTGGAGAAAAGTCAGGAATGGAGCTGAGTGTTTGGTTTCATTCTGTTCCATATTTATATGACCATCCCTCTTATATACAATAATCCTGGGAGGTTCACAGCAACAATAAAACTTAAAAAGAAAACAAAAACATTAATCTCAAAACTACAGACCATACTCCCAACACATTAGCTGAACTCCAGTTTCATCTTAGCCCAGCACTAGGGAAAACCAGCTCTTCATAGACTTCTGGAAATCTAAAACAGTGGAGCCTCAGGGGAGAGGGTTGTTATTTTTTTTTTTAAAAAAATCCACCTAAGCATTTGAGAGCTCATGATAGCAGAGATGAAATATTTATGAGGCAGTGTTATATAGTGTTACCAGCTATACTGGTGGACATGTTTGTTTTTATATGATTGCATTTATGTAAAAATCTGTTTCTGTAAACTGCCTGGAGATGCATTGCATGACAGATAGCATGTAAATATTTGAAACAAAGAGATAAAGGAGTGAAGGGGAATTCAGGGTTTCAGTTTCAGCTGGAAAAAGAACAGAGGGTAAATTCAACAAATTTGGTAAATGTGGAACTTTCTGAAAGGAGACACTCCAAGGAATGTATTTATAGTTATAGGCTACTACATCAATTAGAATCCTAGAAACAAGTTAAAAGTAAATTAGAGATCATCTAGTTAGCTCACCTCCCTGCTCAGTGCAGGATTCACTAGAACATGTTTTGACAAATTACCATCGAGTGCTAGTGAGGGAAATAAAGGCAATTTGGTGTAGTGGTTATGGTATCAGGCCAGATACCAGGAGACTGTGAATACTCATCTCACCTTAGGCATAAAGCCAGCTGGTTGATTTTGAGTGAGTTACTTTCCTCAGCCATAGGAAGAAATTAATAACAGATCACTTCTGAAAATGCTGTTTAAAAAACTGCAGGGACTAATCCATGCAATTGCCAGGAGTTAATATTGAATAGAAGGCACCCTGTCCCTGCAAAGTGAGGGAAAATGGCCCCCTTTCTCCATAAGGCAGGAATTCATATATCTCAGTCACATTCCTGCTGAATCATATCACTGCTCCTTTTAAGTTAAAGAGTCCCAAATATTCCAGATTTTAGGAAAGGGGATCACGGTTCATTACAACCTAAATCTAATGTATAACATTTCTCTGCTAAACAGAAAAGCTATCACAGCAAAATAAAAGCTTTGAAATTAGGAAAATCCAGGACTCTTGGGTTTTTAAAAAATTGATTCAGAAATTTGATTCAAATATTTGAGTTGAATTGGTTTTCATCAGATTTTAGAAACAGCTTGGAAAATGGGTATTTTTACATATACAAACATCCGTCCAAGTGCCTGAACTGGATTTGAATCTTTTCGATATGATTTGTTTTAAAGACATTTGGTCTGATTTGAATACTTATGTTGAAGGAGTAATTTAATTGAATTGTTTCTTCAGAACAAATCTTCAAACTATATATTCACTCAGTTTTCAGGAAACTGTAAGAGAAGTAAAAATGTAGGACTTAATTAGAGAAATTACCACTACAGAGGAATAAATTCTGAATAATTTTATGAACAAGTATGAAATCAGGTATTAAAAAATTGTAAGAATCCAGATTATATTACTGAATCCAATATTACCAACATTTGTAATAATTTAGTTTCAGAAGAATATAAGCCACTTGTGTCATTTTATATTGATATTGTAAACTTCCCTCCAAAGTTTCTGGATTCATATGTTGAATATTCATGTTTTGGGGTCTACCATTCCCAGAATTCCCAGTAGCTGACAAGTTGGGAATTATAGTTCCAAGACATCTGGAAAACAATAGGTTAAGGAAAGCTGTTTTGCTAAGTGCCTTTGCAAGTGCCTTCAGTTTGAGGCTAAACTGAATGTGACATTAGATTGTTGCATTTTTCTGATGTTTTCAGGATGCTGGGTTGTTATTTATTTTTTTTACCAAGTTTACATGGCTTTGTTTTTATAGTTTTGTTTAAGTGTAAGCTGTTCATGTGACCAGTCAAACTGAAAAAATGGAGTGTAAATAATTATATAAATCAAGCCCAAGAAGAATCCCAGACAATTAAATATATAAAAACTAGGAAGGTTAACCTTTTATTTGTTACTGCTGACATTAAAACTGAACCATAAAACATACTCACGAGTTTCTGCTTTTCTTTCTTTTGGAGAAAACACACTTTATAGATCCTGTTTAAGATAATATGCATTCTAGCAAGCCTACATATGAAACAGATTAGATCAAAGACATGGCAAGGGTAAATAAAAGAGATCAAAGGTTGGAACCATATGATGCCTGTCACAAAAAAAGTATTTTTTTTCTTTTAATGTAATCAGTATGCAGTATTTAATTGTGTATTCTGCCTTTGTTTCTCAATTATAGAAGCTGTAACTTTAAGAAAAAAGTCATTTGTGGATCTAAGCTATTTTTTTGGATAGGAGGAAGAGCTGCTACCAAGGCAAGAGTCACATAAAAGGAACCTGAGCCTGGCACAAGAAGGAAAGATGAGTGAAGGTCTTAAACAAGCTCCTCCCTAGATCAGACAAAGATAAAGGAAGGGAGGGGGGGAGGCATATTCCGCCTTGAAAGATTTTATACTATAGCTTTACAATAAAAGTTGTACTACATGTCATTGGTTTCCCAGTCTGATTTATCATGAAGGACTGATCTCTCTTAATGTGGCAGTGTCAGATCCCCAAACCATTATTGTTTTCCCTGCATATGTGTTCTTGTTTGAGGCCTGCCATTCTGCTGGGAGGGGGAATTGCTTTTGCTTGGGATAACTTTCACTTTCTACTTTTCCTCTCCTGCTTCTATCTACTTGAGAGAAGAATGTGTCTCCCTTATCAGGGAGACAGTTACGGAGAAATGAAACTGGGGAAGATCTTGAGATGCGTGCCAACTGTGTCAGTTACCCAAACATTGTGCACCTGTGGATTGGCTGGATTTCAAATGGACATTATGACTTTGGTGGGAGGAGGAAGATTGTTAATTTAACTGTACCATTTAAGCAGGAGTTTCCCCAGATCTTGTCTTGACTTCCCTATTGTCACTAATCCCCAATAAAAGTTCCTTTTGAGATAATGCCTGTTTCAAGAGTTCTGCTTTCTTGGGTGGTTAGCTGAGATGGGTCCTTACAGGCAGCCTACTCCATTAGCTGACAGCCTGTACAACATACCTTGGGAGTATGGGTCATTTAGCCAACTTAAGTCCATTTAAGAGTAGTATCATCTAGCCATTTTTTATCATCTTATGAAGGGGAATAGTATGATGCTCTCTGTTGAAGGCTTTGTTGAGGTTCAGATATACTGTGAAGCATTTTCTTGATCAACTAAGTTGCCAACTCTTTTAAAAAAGATATACAATTAGTTTAGCATAGTTTGCAAACTCATTGATACTGGCTTATGTTAACTACAGTTTTTCTATCCAAATATGCTGCTTGAAAAATGGTCAGAAAACACTGCAAAAGCGTCAAGGGCAGAAATCCAAAGTAGGTTTTCATCCTAAAATAGAACTTGGTATCAGTCATATTAGCATGACTTAGGAAACTGAAAAAACATTCCCAAAGAATGTAGTGGCAAACTGCTTTTATGATGCTGCAAAAAAAAAAAGAAAGAAAGAAAGAAAGAAAGAAAGGAAAAGAAAAGAAAAGAAAAGAAAAAAAGTTCTACTTTAGTATGTCTTTACCTTGATCAACTAGATGGGAAAAAATCCAAAAATTATTGCTTAATATATATTAGACAGAAATACCTTTAGTCACTCAAAAACAGATTAAAAATTGCTAATTTATATGAATACCTTTTGAAATGGAAAACCAGAATGAATGCTAATGTTTTCCTTGAGTTTCTTTGGCTACCTAATGCCATTTCTTTTACTAAATGAAAGCTGGAAATTGGTAAATGATGGCTCAGTGAAGGAGGGCAAGTATCTCTCTTGTAAATGCCCATTGTCAAAAGATTGTCCCGGAAAAGAAGATGTAAACTGTGATTATTCAAGATAATCAATGACATTTTAATATGTATAAAGATTAAAAAATACTCAAATACTCACAATAGAGGAGTGGGTTGTGAAGATAATAGAATTTATGGAAATGATAAAAATGACTTGTTTGATCAGAGATAAGACAGTAAGTAGTTTTTATTAAAGACTGGAAAAACTTACAGACTTTTTGCTGAAAATGAAAAAAAAATGAACCAAATGATTGATGGATTTGCTGATTAAAAAGGGTTGAACACAAGAAGGAATTTTAATATAATTTTAATAAAGGAGGTCAGAGAATAAGTTTATAACTTGTAAAGAGGATTGAAAGTCACTTCTTTATGTATCGTTTTTCTTTTACTTGTATTTTATTTCTTTTTGCACTTTTTGTATCTTTTTTCTGTTTCTTGTTTTTAATCTTACTTATTAATTCATGTTTTACTTTTGTGAAGAACTTTAATAAAAAAATTAAGAAATAAATAAACTGTGATTATTCAGTAGCCAGGTGTCACCTGTTATATCTTGTTTGTATGTTTGAATTTGAAGCTTTTTTGGCAACCCAGTTTAGGACTCTTAAACATATTCATTATCCAGTATTCTGTTTATGGTACTATAGTACAGCTCATCTGATTGCCTTATGCATCAGTTTCATTTCCTCTTTTTTAATCCCTTTGTTTCTCTCTCTCTCTCTCTCTCTCTCTCTCTCTCTCTCTCTCTGTGTGTGTGTGTGTGTCTCTCTCTCTGTCTCTCTGAATTCTCCCCTTAAAAGAGAATTCTGTTCCTTAAAAGTTTTACATCCCGGCCATCTTCTCTGTCAAAACTATACTCTATGAGTAATTAATATTTGTATGAGAATACTAATTGTTCATTAGTATTCTGACAAATAAGAAAAAAGAGAACTACGCAGCACTCAGTTTACTATGTTGAGTTATCCAAACATTTATTCTTTGCTCAGCAAGATGTTCATGTAGCACATAGCACCAAACTAACAAAATAAAGAACTATAAATATAAAGACAGTAAGTAGGAAGGGGGGGTAAAGAACAATTTTAAATAAAAGCAGAAGAAGCAAACTTCCTGTAGTCATCAACAATGGTGGGTTAGGATTGCTCATTTATCTATTTTAAAAATGCTGGGTTTTTTTCAAACTTAGCACATTTTCAAAGGATATAAACATATGAAAGCTGGTACTTACATTTTACTTAAGCTCCACTGCTCTGATTTGATGGATACCACAGGATGAAATTGCACATGAATTCATTTATGCATCTGAGCTCTTCACTTGTTAAGAGTAGAGTCCTACACACACATGCAATAAATTTAAGCAATTGTAAACTGTTGTAAAGTTTAAAAAACAAAATCACAGTGAAGAAATATTTAGCAATCTCAACAGAAATTAACAACCATGTACTTAATATGTTATAGGTTTAAACTTCTCTTTAGTCAGCACATAGTCCTCACTTAAGAACAGGTTGCTTAGAAACTGTTTAAAGTTACGATGAGAAACCAAATTACTTATGACTTGTTGCAAACTTCCAATGGCTGCATATACACACTCCACATGATTGCATTTTGGGCACTTGGCAACCAGTTCCCTTTTATGGCCAGTCATAGCTTTCCAAGGTCACCTGAGAGAATAGGTGGCAAATAGTATGAACAAATAAACCTACAACAAAATCTCCTCTCTTGTGCTACCATCATCCCCTTTATTTAATATACGTGTTATTACATAAACTAGGTTTCTGCCAGTGAAAATCCTTGCTATAGCTATACAGTAACAAAGATAGATATATGAACCACAACACCGTTTAACATTTTGTAAAATACTGGATGTGTTCTTACAAACAAAATACAATCAATATTTTGCTATAACTCCCATTTTAAATGTAAAACCAGCTATTGACTAAGTTTCAGTCAGTTTAAAACTTCTGAGCAAAGAGGCTATATAAGACAGTTGACACTGTATGTGTTTACTTAGAACTAATTCTCACTGAGATCACTGATAATTTTGAAGTAGAGAAGATTATGCTACAACATATTCAGTATGGAAAATCTTCCACTCAAGTCCATTTAAAATGAAAGGGTTCACTAATTGTGGGCTTGGTGTGGCAGAACATTTTAAATATAGTTCTTGTCCCCATTCTTAGTTAAACTGACTTCATTCTAAGCAGGTCATCAGAAGTTTAGCAGTAAAGAAAGTTTGTGGAGAACCCATTCAATTATGAACTAATATGCTCACTTTAAAAAAACAAAAAACAAGATATGGTGGGTTCTCAGATATACCTCAGATATAAAAACTGAATCCACCAAAGAAAATAAATGTTTGAGAACAACGTTGCATCATGCTTCTTCATGAGTTGGTAAGAGCCATTATACCAGGAATAGTGTGGTAGCAGTGGACAAAGCTATTGTTACATACCATACAATTCCAAGAAAACAGATGGGGAAGGATGATACAGTATATTAAAAACAATTTTCATATATGCACTGAAATAAGCTCACTGAGCTTCACCTCTTGTTTTATAAGATGAGATGAGATAAGGTAAGGTAAGGTAATCTTTATTGTCATTTTTATTGTGGGCACAACAGTAAACAAAAGACCATTAAAGCACCTGGATTCATTGGTTATAATGTTGACAAAAGTATTTTTTGTGTGGCTTTCTTTAAAATATTCTAATTAACTTTACATCACTGGCTCTATTTTTTTTTAATTTATTTTTATGGATTTTAGAAACCAGCTAATGAATTCATTTACCAAAACTTGTTAAACCATTATAAAGTTTTACTGATTACTGCTTTTATGTTTGTTTGCATATTTATTTATTTAATTTATTGTTTCCTGCTTCTGAATGATTGTAGATAACTCAAAATATACCATAATAAAATGGTGAGCTGGCTAAAACCAAAACACCCCATCAACAAATAACATCTAACAAAGGGGACCCCAAATCACCCTATCCAAAGGCTTGAGAGGACAGCCAGGCTTTTTATGGCTCTTTAGATCAGTGGTTCTCAACCTTTTTAATGCCGCGACCCCCCCCACTGGTCGTAAGTCGAGGACTACTCAACCGGTCGTAAGTCGAGGACTACTCAACTGGTGCAGCACCGTTTGCAGAATGGGACTTTTGGCAGGCTCAGCAGGGCAGAGACAGCCTGGACAATTCCTATTGGCTTTTGAAAGCCAATAGAATTAGACTCTATTCAAGAGAGTCTATTCTATTGGCTTTCAAAAGCCAATAGAATAAAAGGGAGTAGCACAGCTAGGGAAAAGGGGGAAAAAAATGGCAGACTGCGTTGTTTGGCGACCCCCGTGAAATGGTTGTTCGACCCCAAATGGGGTCCCGACCCACAGGTTGAGAACCACTGCTTTAGATCATCAAGGTTGTGGAAGTAACTCAAATCTCCGGAGGAATCTCTTTCCAGAAGAGGAAAAACTGCAACAAAGAAGGTCCACTTCCTGGTTCCTGATAGTTGACGTTGTTTAATTGAAGTAACCTGGACCACATCAATTCTCTCTATGCAAATCAGCAAATCAGATATCATGGAAGCTAGATAATCACTTCCAGTAACCAGGCCCTTTGCTACGTAGAGCTTTGTAGGTTGAAACCAGCACTTTGTATCACATCCTGAGGCAAATTAACAACCAGCACAGCTCCCCCAGCATGGGTATCACGTGGTCATATCAAGGACTAGTGAAATCTGGACTAGTGAAAGTTTCCATTAGTGATATTAAAGGGCAAGTTATGTTATTATTATTGATTTATTGAACATTATAACACAGCAGTAGGCAATGTTTTTCAGGTCAGGAGAATATCTGCGCAGGGCTGCCTTTCAAAGTGAATGAAACCAAATGCCTCCTCCCCTGTATAACAATATTTAACAAAGTGATATTTTAGGTTTTGGCCCTAACAAGGCAGGCTTTGGACAATAAAAGGAGGCAGGGAACTTAGGTAGGGAGGACTGCATGATAAATGAATAACAGGTAATGAAAGACAAATCATCTTGTTAGATCACAAACAGATTATAAGGATTTGCAGAAAGGCACCATATCATCAGAAGAGATGCTTTTGGGTGCTTTGAAATGTAACAAGGAGCAAAATTAGGTAT